AATTTTCTCTCATTGGAATGTATTGAACTTTTCGTCCAATGCATTCCAATGAGAGAAAATTCAAAAAATCATTAAAAATTAAGGACGACTCAGAACAACATCAAATTAAGTTTGCATAGGGTTCAGGAGGTGGGCTAACGATTGCAAGCATTTAAAACCTGTTCCAAACACTATAAGGCACTTTTACAGGAGCGAAAAAGGACTTCGCAAAGCCATTGAAATGTATTGAGTCGGCTTCAATACATTCCAATGGAGGAAACATTGTTTCACTCAACGATGTTTCCTATGGGTTTTTTCACTTAAAGACGGCAATCTGTTCCAATTGGAACGGATTAACCGGTTTTCAATTCATTCCTATGGGAAATTAACATCATGTAACATCGGTTCCTACTTGGTGGCACAGAACACACACACATTAAAGGTTCAGTGTACCACATTAAAAATGACTCCTTAGAGCTTAGACAGTCTATTAGTCCAAATAACCATGACTGCCAAATCTAACTCATTTCTCTCTTCAGCAAAACAAACTGAAATAAAATTTTAGAATAACAATAGCCTGATAAGAGAAATGGTTATTGCTTTACCTTGAACTTTAACTTAACAGTGAACTTAATTGCTTATGCTTTACTTAACTGCATATGCTGCCTAGAGTGGTCTTATAGACCAGATGGGCAGGGTACAAATCAAATAAATAAATAAAAGTATGTTTAGATCAGTGCAGTTAACAGCAAAAACAGTATTTCCAAAGACCCATTTGTTATGACAAATAACAAACACATGAGTGACTACTCTATAACTTCCCTGTGCAAGATTTATACAATACAATATTCTTCGATAAGTCCAACTAAAAATAAAATACAGTGGGGTCTTGACTTGAGAACTTAATCCGTATTGGAAGGTGGTTCTCAAGTCAAAAAGTCTGTAAGTCAAGTCTCCATTGACCTACAGTGCATTGAAAACGGATTAATCCTGTAACAGGCAGTTTTTGTTCCATTTTGGTTTTTTTCTGGTCTGCAAGTCAAACCTAAATTTTGCGGCCAGAGAAGTCTGTAACTCAAAAAGTCTGTAAGTCAAGCCGTCTGTAAGTCAAGGGTCCACTGTACAGCAAAATGTACAAAAACAGGTTTCTTGCATTGTTCATTAGATCAGTACTATGTGTATACTATTGTCACTCCCCCATCATATCTGGAAATGCCAGGAAACTTCCACCTGCAAACCATACACTCTACTACTAAACTACAGTTCCTTCTCAATATTTACTAAATTTATCAGTCACTGAGGTCTACCACCCTTTCTTGTATATGTATAATCCCCAAGGTTTTTAGACACAAAATAGATTCTGAAATTTAAAACTATCACTATTCTGGTCCCTACATCTACTTAAGTAAAAATTTAAAAAAACATTTTATGAAAACAAAATTATATTTTACTCAGTGGTTGGTGTCTACAAGAAGCTACCAAAACACTGTTTCCTGTGTTGTGACTCCCCTGGCAAGGACTTGTACCAAAATTATAGCGTATGTTTATTGGTTTAACTGCTTTAAATTTGTAATGCTACCCAGAGTAGACCTTTGGTCTAGATGGGTGGGTTAGAAATTCAATAAAAACAACTTCTTAATCAGAAATGCTACTTTTAGAAACACTGAAGTCTTCCAGTTGGGTGTCATTGTTTTCTCCTAAGCATCCACATACATCTGCCCACTTTGCAGAAAAAGCAAATATCCAGTGTGCACTCTTTTACGCAGCAAGAACAGCAATACTTTTGTCAGCACTGAATAAAAAAGGTGTAAACATCGAAAAGCCCTGTAAGTACACAGAAAAGGATACTTGGTGTATCCTACATAGAAATCGACTTAAATAAAGAGTTTTCATTGAAATATACTAGTTTAACAGCTTCCAAACTTCGAGTGCCTTTCTCCCATATCCTGTCCGCTGGCCTACCCCCTCCCACCAGCTACTCTTTCACTTATCCCTCGCTCTGCCCTAACCCTTTCCCGTTAAAACGAAGGCCCTTGCAAAGGTGTTCAAAATATAACCTTCTTCGAATTTCCCTACCAAGCAAGCCTATGCCAGATCAGCGGGAGCAGCCTTTTAAAATAAGATATGCAGCCTTACCTCCACCTCGATCCTCCTCCTGGCACCTTGCTAACAGGGCAAACTGCACCAGAGCTAGGAGAAGCGTTATCAGACACACTCGTTTGACATCCATGTTCGAATTCACCTCTTTCACTTCACCTCCTACTTCTTTCCTCTCCCCGCTTCTCCCTTCCAGGAAAATATTTCCCGGGCAGTGCTATTTCTAATTGGCTGAAAATGTTTAGTGGTCAGGGGAAACTGAGCGCTCAGCCAATCAAGCGCAACTTGTGTTGCTCGTCGTTCGCTGCTCTGACCTGCAATTCTTTCTCTTTCTAGACTAGCTCGTTGCAACTCGCTAGTTCAGCATGTGCAGGAGGTACTCCCCTGCATACCTAGTCTAACCTTAATCTCGTAGTTTAAGCATCAATAGGAAAGGAGGCCACTACGGGGTAAGCGAAATTCTGCAAAGGATGTGCATACAACCTGCAAGCTATAGAAAAAACACGAAAAATACTCTGAGGTGCTGCCTTCTGATTGGGCAGCCTGAAAACCACCAATCACGATAAGCCACTCGTCTGAAAACGCAAACGAATCCTGGTGTCGCGGCGAGCAACGGGACAAAGATTGGTTGGAGTGGGCGGAGCTTATTAGCCCGAACGGCCATTTCTTGGGTTGGGATTGGTTTGAGATGGTTAGGGCTTTCAGATGGGAGGGATTACTAAGCAGTTGAGAACCTTTTAGGCCGTGCCACGTAGGGTTGAAGTGTAAGGAGAGGATGAATTAGGCCTGAAGTGGAGTTGTCAGACAGGCTGGAGGCAGGATATAGTGAGTATGGAGAAAAGAACGGTTATACAGTATGTGCTTTAGGCTAGCGAGGAATTGTCAGTTGTGTTGATTGAGGGTAAACAATGAGTGGCGTGAGGAGAAATTAATTTCCATGGTGAAGTGTAGGCAGAACCTGTGGCAGGACTCTGAGAGGAAAGATAATGCAGCTGTGGAAACATTAAGAAACAAACACTGATTGATTGATTTGATTTGTATCCTGCCCATCTAGACTATGTCTACTCTGGGTGGCTTACAGTAAAAGCATGAAAACAACATATAAACAATTAAATGACAGTTCAAATCAATAATATTAGTGGTATTTAGGTTTTGTTGCCCTGGTCTTCCTTTTTTCTCTTTGTATTTTGTTCAATATCCTTTTTCTGACTCTTCTTCACTTAGTTCACTCTCCTGGTGTTTTCTCTCTCTGTTTTCTACTTTTTATTTTGCCCCTGTGCTTCTTCAAAGAAGGTAATAAGTTTTTCAAGGAATTATCTTGCTTTATGGATGGAGTCAAGCCTATATCTTCTTGAATTCCAGTTGATCAGGATCCCTTCAGGTACCAGCCATCTAAAATTCACTCCTTTCTTACTCAGTTTGGTAATCAAAAATTGATATTGTTTCTTCCCCTCTCTTATTCTCCAAGGTATCTGTTTCAATATTTTTAAAAGTACTGTACACAAGATTAAAAACACTTTAAAATGAAGCAAGAAAAAACTTGGATAATAAAAATCCTTGGGGGGCGGTTGACAGCAGGAAGGGACCAATCCTGTTTTCTGAAAAAGAAATATTGGAAGAAAATACAAAGCAGATGTATACAATCAAGAACAGATAATTGTGATTTCATATGATTTTTACAGGGGGTTCTTGGAAAAGGAGGGCAACGGGGATGATCAGGGGGCTGGAAACTAAGTTCTATGAGGAATGAAAGAGTTGGGCATGTTTAGCCTTGAGAAAAGAAGACAGGGGTGATATAACATTTTTCAAATACTTGAAAGGCTGTCATACAGAGGAGGGGCAGGATCTGTTCTCAATCATACCAGAGTGCAGGACACGCAAACAATGGGCTCAAGTTAAAGGAAACCAGATTTCAGTTGAATATCAGGAAAAACTTCCTAACTGCTAGAGCAGTACGACAGTGGAACCAGTTACCTCAGGAGTTGGTAAGTGTCTGGAGGCATTCAAGAAAAACTTAGACAAGCACCTGAGAGGTAGCCTTTGATTTGTATTCCTACCTTGAGTACGGGGTTGGACTTGATGGCCTTATAGGCCCCTTCCAACTTACTATTTTATGATTCTATGAAATTGGATGAATTAGCTAACACCCTGGAAGACAGAAACAAAATTCAAAATGATCTAGATAGGTTGGAGCACTGTGCTGAAAATAACAGAATGAAATTCAACCGGGATAAGTGGAAAGTACTGCACCTCGGAAAAAGAAACCGAACACAATTTCAGTTGAAAAAACTCATGTTAGAACAGTACAGCAATGGAACCAATTACAGTGGACCCTTGACTTACAGACGGCTTGACTTACAGACTTTTTGAGTTACAGACTTCTCTGGCCGCAAAATTTAGGTTTGACTTGCAGACTGAGATTTGACTTACAGACCGGAAGAAAACCAAAATGGAACAAAAACGGCCTGTTACAGGATTAATCGGTTTTCAATGCACTGTAGGTCAATGGAGACTTGACTTACAGACTTTTTGAATTGAGAACCGCCTTCCAATACGGATTAAGTTCTCAAGTCAAGACCCCACTGTACCTCGAAAGAGAGTGCTCCAACATTATTCCAACTTGCCCCCTATCCACTTGTCCATAATGTGTCATTTTATTCATGTCCATCATGTTTTACCTTCCTCTACTTTTTTGAAATTAAAAAACTCAAAGTTTCGTCATAAAGAGTTGTTCACATGTATTCTTCATATTGATTGCCTTATTCCGAATACTTCTCTGCTGAACCATATTGTGACGATTATCCCATGGCCCCTGCTTGTTTCACCCAACAAAGAGCTCATGTGAGTATCCAAACATATCCTTTACCACACTACCACCAGTTGATCTCTTTACCAACTATATTTCCTATAAAAGACTGAGGTCCATTCAGTACTGAAAATTGAAATACAAACAGGTTATTGGTCACACGATATTTCAGGAATAGTTCTTAAGCACATTCATAAAGTTACACTAAGCTTCAGTATCTTCCTTTAACATCTTCTATCTCAACTAATACAGATAACACTCTGACTATTCACTCCTTAAATTGTTTCTCTGCCTCAAACCCAAACTATCTTCCTTTCCCTTCAAACCTTTTTCTCTATCTCCCACACTAACTGACTGAACTAACTCACAAAATTTCTCCTATCTGACACACGCCTCCCTTCTGGTTTCTCTGGCTCTGCCTCCCAACAGCTCCCATTGGTGTATGCGAGCCAAAGCAGGGTGATCTCCACGCATATCAATTTCAATTTAATACATTATATTATATAAAATATGATATATTTTCTGTTTTCTTTCCCATTTTTTTCAAATTATGTCCAAATTATGAGTTGGTGGTTGGATAACTGGTTTAGTTATCTAGCTGTGGAGATAGATATGGGGAGTTCAGTTCCCCACTGTGCCTCCTAGGGGAAGAGTAAAGCTGTGAAACCTTGAGCAAACTACAGAGTCCCAAGGGGACCCCCCAGAAGAAGGGAATAGGAAACCACTTCTGAATATTCCATACCTAGAAAATCCATAAAGCCAGAATTGACTTGATGGCATGCAGTTATTATTACTGTGTTTCCCTGAAAATAAGACAGGGTCTTATATTAATTTTTGCTCCAAAATGCATTAGGGCTTATTGTATTTTATTTTTCCATGTTGTCATGAGTGCTTCCGAAGACCTGGACCCAGAAGGGTTAACTGTGGCTGAAGAGAATGTGGAGAGATCAGAAACACCTGAACCGCCTCCAGATTCTCCCTCCACAGCAGACAGGCTTTGGGGCAGGCTTCGGGAAAGACTCAGGACAAGAAGATCAGAGGATTGCTCAAAGGCTTTCCACAGAGACCTACGTTCATCTAGTCCTGAGTACTAGCAGAATAGAAAACTTTCCAGCATCTCAAGGAACTGTTTCATTATAAAACAAGCTTCCAGTGAAGCCAGAAACTTCGTGGAAGCAAGGAGTCAAAACCTTGGCTTGCATCCACGTTTCTTGCATCTTGTTCCTGTCTCTAAACTCTGGACTTTGACCCTGGACTGCGCTGGTATTGGACTCTGGACTTTGGCCCTGGACTACACTGGTATTGGACTCTGGACTCTGGACTCTGACCCTGAACTACACTGTGTATCGGACCCTGGACTTTGACATTGGACTTCATTCTGTAAGTTGGTTTCTGGACTTTGGCTTTGCATTCTTGATATCTCTGACCTTGGACTGGTTTATCGGACTTCAGCGATTGTAACCCCCAGGAACGTGACACATGTACAACAATCTACTGTACATTTATTCAGATACAGGCATATCATCATCTTCTGGTTGCTGCACAATGGTGGAGTTTCACTTAACGAGCATATTTTTGGGGTAGGGCTTATATTACGAGCATCATGAAAAATCATACTTGGGCTTATTTTCAGGTCAGGTCTTATTTTCAGGGAAACAGGGTATTACCTCAAGTTATTGTTGTTCTCAGCCGCCAATCACAGGCTGAGCTGGTATCTTCATCAGCCCTATCATACTCAAATGACAATGTCAAATACAATACAAAATATGGAACTATATATTTAGCCCTTCAAATAAGTAGATATAAAAATAAATAATGTATACATTACATCTTATTTCTTACGAGAACTCCAGAGCAACATTTATGAAACTGGACTGGAATATAGAGATCAAATATCAGTTTGTTGTGTCTCTGGGGTAATATCATGTGTTGTGTGCTGGATAGTTTTCATCTGCTTAAATCCTCTCTTCAGAAATTATGAAAGACATGGAAACCCCATCAATAGAAAAAGTCATGTGGATCCCTGAGAATCCAAGCCTTTTATGCCCAGAGAGTGACACATAGGCATCTTAGATCCCTCACTTGCATAGCGAAAGCTAAGAACAAAGAAATGAATTGGAGACATTGATCCTCTTGAACTCTTTTTTTTTACATGATTCCCACCTCAAACTACTATAAAAATCAAGGTTCTAACTGGTACCAATAGGCCTCACAATAGAATTTTATTTTACAGTGGTGCCTCGCACAACGAGTGCCTCACACAACGATGAATTCACACAACGATGCCTTTTTCTGTTAAATTTGCTGCCTCACACAGCGATGTTTCCTATGGGGGATTTTCACACAACGATCTCCCTTTTCGCTCCTGTAAAAGTGTCTTACAATGTTTGGAAGCTGTTTTAAATGATTGCAATGGCTAGTCCACCTCCTGAAACCTATGCAAACTGATTTTGGTGTTGTTCTGACACTTCGTTAATTTATGATGATTTTTTGTTTTTTCCATTGGAAACCATTAGACAGACCATCCAATGGTTTCCAATGGAGAAAATTCAAAAAATCATCATAAATTAACGAAGTGTCAGAACAACACCAAAATCAGTTTGCGTAGGTTTCAGGAGGTGGACTAACCATTGCAATCATTTAAAACAGCGTCCAAACATTGTAAGACACTTTTACAGGAGCGAAAAAGGACTTC